GCTTAGATCTGTAGGACTTAAATTTAACTTGGCAAAGTCCTCGTTAAGCCACTGTGTACGACGTGTTGTGCTGATTCTCTGTAAAATGTCAATCGATGTTATTAAATGGCCATCCATACATAACATTAATACTGTCACAGAGAAATTCAAAAAAATATCTGGTCTCAAAGATGTTGTTGGTGCTATAGATGGAACATACATTGAAATTCCAGCACCATCTGAAGTATGTTGTTACTTGTGCTTTATTCTTTTTAATCTAATATATTCTTTGAATAATGAAAATATGTATATACATATATTACAGCCAAACACTCAGTGCTATCTAACAAGAAAATGCAGATATGCTATTACCCTACAAGCAATATGTAATACAGATTTATCTTTCACTGATTGTTTCGCTGAATATCCTGGATCTGTGAGTGATATCAGAGTTTTCCGCAATTCAGACTTTTGGCACAATGTCCACAAAAATTATCGTTATTTTTTCCCCAACGAAGAATTTATCATTGGAGATAAAGCTTATCCTATACGCAAATGGTGTTTGACAGCCTATAGAGATAATGGCCATTTGACAGAGGTAAATTGCAGTGGTGAAATACCAATATTACAGCTATAGTAACTTATTATATTTTTATTATATCTTTGTTTGTATAATTACTTTTGTATGTTTATAGATCGAAAATAATTTTAATCATATACTGTCACAAACCAGGCAAACGATAGAACGTGCTTTTGCATTAATTATTAAAAGGCCGCTTTCGGCGCTTGAAATATTTAGACATGGCTAGAATAGATTTAGTACCAGCGACAATTCTAGCTTGTTGCGTTCTCCACAATATATGTTTACAGAATACTGATGACATTGAAAATTATATTTTAGAAGGTAGAGAAAACGATGAAGCTAGAGAGAATTTGGAAAGGAATAAAAATGAGCGGAATGAAGATCATGATGATGAAGGTGTAGCAAGACGCAATTATATTGCAATACATTTATATAGAGGAAGAATATAATGTAATAAATTGTAATAAATTGGTATGTACGTAACTATATACATATATATATGTATATTTTACCGACATGTAATAAACATACATTCTATATACATGTATGTACATACATATACATACATATTTTATCAACATATTAATATGTTTGCAGTCTTTTAAACAATTTAACACATATATAAACTGTTATATTTTTAACCAAACTAACTCTTTTATAGCTTTATTGTTGCAACTTAAAATTACAACTTTTTGTAAATATAACTTATAATATTGCAACAGGTTTCTTTTTCACTAATGTTTGAAATCGAGATTTAAAATAAATACCCTCATTTAACAAAATAAAACATAAATCACAATACTAGCTTTGTATTAGAAAAAAATAAAGTAGACATAACTGACATAAGTGAAATCTAATAAGATATAACTCCAACACAGCAAAAAATCACATACTAACAAAAATTAACTCGTGTATGTTTCTAATCTCACAGATACAAATCTTATTTGAATGAATAAAAATTAATTTGAAATTTTTCAAAAATTTATAACTTGAAAATAAGAAATAAAATTAAAGTGTTTAAACGTAGAAAAAAAAGATAAAAATATTGCTTAAACTATAGTTTTTCCAATAACTTGCTCATTAATTGTTTGTAAGTTTCTACAGCTTCCTTTTGAGATTCCAATCTTTCTCTGTGTCTTCTTTCCTTTTCTTTTTCATTTTTTTTCATATATTCTGTCAACACAGTAATTGTTTTTCTATTTTACTCTTTTTAGGAGGTGGAACTACTACGTTACTGTCTTCATCAGAGTTTTGCTCTTCAACAGTTGAAGGAGATAAAACCTTCTGTGAAAGATTTGATGCAATGGCCACAGGCTGCACACTATGAGATTTTCCACATATATCTCTTCCATGTCATCATAGTACTTGCATTTTTTAAGTGATGCTCCGGACTTGGAATTGTGATCTTTTACTTTAATATAATTTTTTTTTTTAATTTTTCCACTTATTTTCGATTTGTTTTATAGTATACGAGTAACCTTTTTCTTTTAAGCCATCGCCAATTTTTCTCCATACAATTTCATTTCTTATTTTGTCATTCTTGAATAAAGTAAGATGATCCTTGTATAGACAGAAAATAAGCTTAATAGCTGAATTTTGCCATGTACCTGAATGTTCCATTGTAGCTATAACAAAAAATAAATATCAATAATAATAACTTATGATTTTGTATTATGTGTATATATAAAACTCTGTGTGTGTGTGTGTGTGTGTGTGTGTGTGTGTGTGTGTGTGTATATATATATATATATATGCGACATATTTTAGTTTAATTAATATATTTATTAATTTTACCATTATTTGCATCACTCTCAGAAGTTGGAATATTTTCAATATTGGAATTATTTTCTATGGCAGATTCAGACTGGAATTCCAATTGGGATGAATGGGATGAGGTATGTATATTATCACGTACATATTGTAATGCAAAATCATGATCTACAACAAGAAATACTTATAATAAATAGGTTGCCGGCCAATAACGAGCAATGTTAGACGTTAAAATTCAAAATTTATTAATGTAACAATTACAAATGGTACGTTTCGGCAACACTGTGCCTTCCTCAGCCAATTTCAGAAATACTTAATTACATTTTTAGACAAAGACAAAATTAGTTCAATAATTAGTTAGTAAAATTAGTTTAATGAAATACTCTACTACTTAACTTACCATTTCGTATTCTTTTATGCATCTCGGATGTTGTCGTAATATTGTATATTACACCTTCGATTATGTACTGCTGTTCTGTGAGATCCATTTTGTCTATTTTATTCTCTGTAAACGATAATATAAATTTATAATATTATTTGTATATATGTATGATACTGATACTTCAACAATGTTTTAGGAT